CAAGTTTCAAATTTTTCGGAGCTTCCTCACCGGAGATATGATATGTTAAAAATAGCCGATTTTGGGCCCAGAGCAAAGTTAGGAAGCTCCTGGAAATTTTTTGGAAATAGGTACGGGGTTCAAAACTACGTGATTATATTCCTCATATAGGAAAAACAAAGGGTAGAAACCACAGATCTGATACTTTCCCCCTCTCATTGGTTTCTGAAGGTCAAAAATAGCGTTTTCCCCAAAATCGATAGGTAAGTTTCAAGCTTAATTACATCTAGAGGAAATGAGTTGAGTAAAAACTTGTAATAACATGATTTGGTGTCCATATCATGAGGAACAAATTGGTTTTCATTGGAGTCTCTAGCTTCAACAGTTATCGAGATACGGGAGATAACGCAAACCTCCATTTGAGCCGAAACCGCGTTTTTTTGCATTATAAAAACGGCTGTATCGGGAGATCCGACCCGATTACAATTTTTTTTAAAAATACTGTTGAAGTGTGAAAATATGTAGAAATAAGTGTACACAATATGATTTTTTTTTAAATGGTGAGCGACCCCTCTATATGACTTCACATGGAATGACCCAAACTACAGAATTTTCCTTCGCAATGACAAATAATTTCAGGAAATGTTGGACCGGTTGCATCAACATTCTGCGGAAGCATCAGTGTTGCATTACTCACTTACATGGCGACAGCATGATGGGGTAATGACGATTCACAATTTCGGAAGGGATGCGAAATTGGCAACGGCTTTTTGTGTCCGCGCTGTGTTCGAAGTGTGTACGCGAAGGCGTGACAGACGTGTGTGTACGGGGGGGGGGGATAGGCAAGGCCAGTTGGTGGCAATGTGTCTTACCGGTCTGGGTCGTGAACCTCGCACTTGCGAACAATGGCGAGTGTTCTTTAGAATGCCAATGAGGCGCATTCCTTCCCGACATGCAACGACTGCAACAGTTGCAGGCAACTCGTCGCCCACCGAAACAAAGTGGTTACGGCGTAGGAGCGGAGACTCTGCAGTGGTGGTTATCAAGCGTCCGCTGAAAGTACGATGTATACCGACCGAAGGAGGTACATGTCGCTTCCATGTTCATGGTTGAATTACCCAAGCAAGGAGGCAGCATGAAGCAGATAGTAATGGTTAGTATGTACGGTACTCAGCATTAATAACTTTCGTACATCATTTTTCTCCATAATTATATTCCAAATGGTGTTTATAATTAAGCAGTATGATATATTGAGTTTATTAATGTACAGTATGGTAATGAAATAATATACACCTACCATTGCTGTCTGCTTCATGCTGGCTCATTGCATGCCTAATTCTTCGACCTTGAAGATGGAAGCAACATATTCCTCTGAAACGTCAGCTGACTTTCAGTGGACTGCATGGAATTATGTCCCATATTACCCAAGCTGCTGTAACATTAAACAGTCTGCATTTTCTCACAAAGTGTATTTATACTCGTATTCACAAACAGCAATAAACGTTTTGTGTTTGTAATGGCAGGAACTGACAGAAAACTGTTCCAAAGGCGTGATTACAATGGGTTACTTGAGCGGGTCCTCAGACTTGGTTGTACATCGTTGTTGCGTCATTTAAATTTCATTAATGTTTAGCCGGAAAGTTGCGGGTTCAATTTCCAATGAGGTCATATGATTTTTCAATTGACATAATCTTTACATTTTTTTTTGTAAGATGAGGCACCGACTAAATAATTAACATTAATATTACTATATCTACATCATGAGCCTCCTATACAATTTTTATATACACAAAATATAGATTATTCCAATTTGTCCATGGGAATACAACAAATTACAAAACCAGCGATTGACTCAATGATGTAAAACATCAATCAAAGAATCTTATTGTTTTATACTATAACTTCTGTTTTATATAATCTTATTTATTGTATTTTTACGTCAAGTATTTTTTTATATAATTAGTAATAATGTATCCAATTTTACTAGTACTGCGGTTCAGTGGTGTATATATGTAACCATGTATTTGCCTGATGATGGCTATTAATAGCCGAAACATGTAGCAGAGCCAAAACTAGGCAGTTAGTTAGTTAGTTATTTACGGAGGGTGGGTTTCCCCATGCACCGCGACCAGTTTGATCTATTGTGCTTCCCTCTATGATATTCTACCAGTCTCTTTACCCTACCGATAAATGGTGCGTACCATCAGTCCCGCCGAGCAAGCGAGTTCGGCCACTTGCTTAGCGGTGTCTATAATGCTTCCCCCATCTATCAGAGGCCTTAGAGACTATTGTTGGGCGGGAAACGTCCTGGATTTGGGCTCAGTGATCCTTCTTTTACGTGCCGTAAAGTAGCAGACAACGTAGGGCTGCGTGAGGTACGCAAGCGCAGGAGCGCCTCTGTCGTCGCGTGACAGAATTAGGTCAGCATTTCGACACACGGATCTGATTGGCTCGCGAACAAGTTCGAATTTTGTTTCCATTACGACGTTACTGAAATGCAGTTTTGGAAAGAACGGTGTTGTGCAATGCACTCAAGTACATTCTCTGTTTGCTTTATATTATTTGTTTATATACACACATGACTTGCTCTGTAAGCATGAGATTTAACGACATTACGAAGTTAAGGGTTATTATAGCAAGGGACCGTCGAGCTTTAACACGTTACAAGAACGAAATCTTTGTAATACTAACTATAGAGAAATCTTCTGTATCAGTGTATCGTGTCTATTCTGTGAGTATACACAATATTTTGATGCGGATATTTGGAGTTTAGTATGATGTATAAGAGAGACACTTTAAGGAATAAAACAGAAAACAGAATAAGTTAATAATAACACGACAACTTATATAACAAATGGTGAGACTTGATACGATAGTTCATTAGTTGGTTCAACAAATCTCGCATGAAGAATACCATCTTATGGAACGTGACTCCGTGTATATTGGTGGTTCAGTCTACGACGCTGTCAGTATCTAGACTGCAGAGCTGCGACATGCAGGATGAATCGGGATTAAGGGGCCATAGGCTAATGGAGGCGCTGTCTCACGTGTTTTCTCGAGGGGAGCGTGCAAAACTGTGAAAAATCTCAATCAGGTTGGCCGGCGTACCGGCCGAGTTTATAACCGACCACCCCCTGAATACATGTCTAGAACTTTACTGCTACACCAGAGAGCTAGGTGACGCCGTGTAGCATAGATATTTACCGAGGTTTGGAGGAATATACTGCCTCCATCTTCAGTATACGGCGATAAACCGAGACTAGGCTCCTCCGCTTCCTGCCTGCTTGCTCAGTCGGACCTGGACATGGAGATTTTGTGAAAATGGCAATGAACCTCCGGGTTACATAAAACGCTGTATCTCGAGAGTTAATCAAATATTTGCTTCACATTAAGGACTATGTTCCATGATGTTAGCACAAAAATATTACTTCAGTGGAAACAGTATTTCATTAAGTCTCAACATGTGTTCCGCGGGACACTATGGCACGAGTAGAGGAATGATTATATAAATATATGAAAAATGTAATATAGCCCTAAGCACTAAGCCATGGAGACGTATGGGGAAGTGGATGTATATATCCATGTACTCTTAACCTAGGCATTATATGGAGATGAGTGGTGAGCTTCACGCCCGTGCCACTTTACCCCCGCGGAAAGAGCCCACGGCAACCAATGGATAGGAGGCTGGGTGAACCCCAGAGCCGGCCTGGACGCTGTGGAGAAGAGAAAAATCTTGCACTGTCAGGAATCGAACCCGGGCCGTGCAGCCCTTAGCCAGTCACTATACCGACTGAGCTATCCCGGCTTACTAAAATAATATGCATTTGTATAAACTTTTCAAATTAATATTTGTTCCTGTTCTATGATCATTTATGTGCTGTAGTTCTAACGCGACACAGAAAAGCGAATATCCCAGACTCAGCCGTGAGCGACAGATGGCTGAGAGCCACTGTGCTATAGCGTCTAGTGAAGGCATGAATTGCAAAGTATGTGGACGGAAGTGGGCGCTCTGTGATAACGAATTTCTGCAGCGGCTTCTTTCCAACGGAAAACAGGAGAACCACGAACGATCTTGACAAAGGCTAGCCGAATTACAAAGCATTAAACACTTGACCTAAGTGTTCGGCAGTAGGATGACACATTTTCTCGGAGAGCAGGTTAAGCGTCAAACTGTCCTAGTGCCGTCTTCCCTGCCTCGTCTAACACACACCAACTCGTCACTGAATTTATGATTGGAAGAAGAAATCTTAACGGCCTTTCGCAAATTATATTGCAAACCGCTGTAATGCACTTCAAAATTCAGCTGCGAAGCCTCTTACAGCCTTTCGTACCTCTACTTTCTTGCTTTCTTTCTTCCGTACTCCTTTGTTATCTCTTCTATTTGCCCGTCGTATCGTCATTCGTCTCCCCTTTCCGTCCTCAGTCTCCTCTACGATAAAGCCGTGCGGGTAAATGTTACAGGTTAACGGCAACGAGAAACATCAGTCATGTTGCATGTTACACTATTTCGAAATCTTGCCCGAGGTTCGCGATCTCTCTCTCTCTCTCTCTCTCTCACACACACACACACACACACACACACACAGGCCGACTGGCCTTTATGTGAACATATACAGGTATTGTTGAAGGATGTGCTGAGACTGTTTGTTAGACATTGAGAGTGACAGAATCCTCTGTGACAGCAAACAAGCACACAAACAAAACCATTTCCGGATGTAGGGGGAACGAACGGGCCTATCGGCCCCGGGGCCTCCACAAAACAGAAGTAGAGCACACAGATTTTATTCAGACATTTGTTTCTCTAAAATCACGGAAAAAAGCTACGAAGAGTTTTATCTTTTGGGATAATAACGGCGTATGGCCCGTTGAAAGTAAACCGACGTTTCGGAGGAACATATCGCCTTCAACTTCAGGGTTCAAAGAATAAGCTGAGCAAGAAACCAACGTGAAAGCATATGACAGGCAGAGTGAAAAGCTAGTATGTATTTTCAGTCATAAGGAAGATAATTTTCGTAACTTACATTTGTTGTTACTGATAGGCCTCTGTGGTCTAGTGGTCAGCGTTCCTGGCTACAGATCCAGAGGTCCGGGTTCGATTCCTGGCGCTACCAGATTTTTATCGGAGAAGTAGTGGGTCTGGAACGGGGTCCACTCAGCCTCGTGATGATAACTGAGGAGCTATTTGAAGGAAATAGCGGCTCCGGTCTATAAAACCGAAATTAACGGCCGTGGGGATTCGTAGCGCTGACCACGCGACACTATCCGCAAAAGTTGGCACTAACTTCGCCAACAAGCGGCGGTCGCTCGGACGGTATAGTTCGCTTGCGGACTAAAATCCCGGAGTTTGTTGTTTGTTGATAGGGGTCTTCATATTTTGATTGCCCTGGTGGGGCCCCATGACTGTAGATCCGGCCCTGAAACAAACATCAAACTGGGTTTAATATGCTGAGATGCCGTCAGCAAATGGTTTATTGATTATTGCCCTAACGCTGACAGTTGCCGTGGTGATCTCAAGGCACCATGCAGCCATGCTCCTCATGCAGAGAACTCGTTCACAACCTGAATTTGCAGCAGCTATTTGCATACCGCGACTCTGAATCAGCACATAGAAACGTACAATTACAATGGGTGAGGGCCCAGCAGTACTGAAGCGCTTCCTGTAACCGGCCGTGGAGGTTCCCACATTCTCTGGACTAATGGACTACGGGGGTTACGGGGCACGTCCCTGAATTGAGGTGCTGGCGTGCCAGAAACAAGCTCAGCCATCTCATCAATAGGTCAGAACCACGTTAATAACTGATAAAACATTTAATCACATAATTTTGCTTTGCTAAAATAATTTGTTCCTTTATTAATTTTTCTATGATAGGCAATAATATATTTGTTATTTAATAGACTGATCTCCTTCTCTGTCATTTGAAACTTATTATTTAGTACCTTATTTTGGATGCAGTTTATTTACTTTATTTTAGATGTAGATTATAGACTGTGTATAACTTCAATTGTACACAAACAACTTTGGGAGTACAAAGTTGAAGAGAAATTATATCTGTAGGTACGCGTACAAAAGTTTGAATACCACTGGTCTAGACAGTCGGCTCACAGATGGCGGTGAGGTCAGCCTTACGCGCCGGCCGCTCTTTATCTCCCAGGAAAATTCCTGGTACTCATTTCTGTTATAGGCTGAGTTGACCCTACGGTCATAGTGCGGCTGGAAGGATTAGATCAATTGATAAATCCAGTGACCTCATCGGGAATCGAACCTGCGATCTTCCGGCTATGAAGCGTGAAAAAATGCAAAGAGAAAGATGCTGTAAAGAATAGTAGAAGACTAGATGAAGGGGAAAGTCGTGGGGCAAGCCAGACACAGTTAATTATAAGGAGAGAAAAGGTTCCCAGGCTTCACCCCCTCGTCCTACTGACAACAGTAGTGTGGAAGTGAAGGCGTTAGGATGGTTAGAAACAGTGGCTTGAGAAAGGGGCCGCTGCATTAGGTAATTTGGTGGCCTTTACAACAGTGGGATTTAATTTTGATGAATTCAGTTGTCCTTTACAGGTCGCTGCCTATTAACGGCCGTTGTATAGCTGTTTATTTCGCGGTCGTTACCTAGCAACGGATCTACATGCCACAATATTGAAGCAAGCGGCAAAAAGACCAGATCTCGGCACTAGATGGAGATGGTCACGTTCACGTCCCTGCCGCTTTACCCCGAGAAAACAGGTCCCAGTACCCACTGGAATCGAACCGTGGCCGTAGCCCATTGCCGCTGCTATACCGACTGATCTATCCCGGCTCTTAATTGAAGTGGTATATAAGCACCTTGTCTTAGAGGGTGGATTAATTCCAAGTGTAAGGTCCCCTGTTGCCATACCCGAGCGGAACTAGCATTTCTGTGTGTCTTATTACGAAATCCCACTGTTCAGTTCGAGCCACATTCTTTTCAAATTGAAGGGTCATTTTGTGCGTCCTACACTTTCCTTTGAAGTGGATGAGCCGCTGCACAGAGACTGCGAACTTGGCACACTTGGCTGTCTGTCGCGCGTCCCATGGGATTGGCACTGAAGAAACATGAAAGTGTTACTATTTGATTTTGCACACCGTGCTGAGCAGTTCAGCACAGAACCAACGCGATTCCAATCTGGAATCCGTGAAAGCTTTTTCAGTACATACGTGACACATTCAGTTTTCCTCATGCACTACGCATGCGCGATGGTGACTTCAGTTCGAGATGAGATCGAGACGAAAATTTCGAGAATGCAGATGATAACGCGAGTTATGTCTACTATGTAAATATATTTTCACTGTACTCACAACCCTATGAGCCTCCACGGCCTATTACAGGGATACCTTTACTTACTTTATAGAGAGAGAGAGATATATATATTCTAAATTATTGTTGGGGTTTCCGCGGCGTATAAACGGAAACCCCGACAATAATTTAGAATCAGCCTGTATACTTGGCACCAGACTGAGCGACGAGACGATCACATAGATGAAGACAAAGTAAAATGTTCTTAGAACGACCTTTGCAGACGTCCTTTATATTTCGGGGGTGCCAAGAGGACATTCCGGGGAGGGGCGCCATCTTGAGAGCCACGTGACCGCTGACAAGTGATGACTGAGAGGAAGTACCCTGAGTGACGGCGTATAATTGTTTCAAAATATTATTTGAATAACTGACTTGTGGGTGTTGAATTGTTTACGTTAGATACAGATAGTAAGACGTGCAGGATGGCCGCTGCTGATATCTCACGATAGCGGCCGAGCGAGATGGCAGCAGCTGTGCTTTGTGAACACACACCGACTTCCTGGCAAACGTCAGAAATCCCCGTGACGTCTGACCAAACTGTGTTGAGAACTAGGTGGACGTTCGAGACGGGAACCAGACAAGACACTCTAGAACTAGGCAGAGCGTCGAATTCAGAACTAGGTACGCTCCCCTATCCACAGCTAGGTAGAATTTCCAGTTCAGAACCGGGTAGAGCCTGCAGTGGAGAACTAGACAGGTTCTTCGTTTCAGAACTAGTCGCATTTTCCGTTTCAGAACTTTGTATACTCTCCAGTTCAGAATCAGGTAGAGTTTGCAGTGCAGAACTAGCCATTCCAGAACTGTGTTGATGCAGTTTCGAGGTCAGAATAGTTGTGAAGGGACCCTGGGGCTCGGTGCTGCCTAGTCCGGCTCGCGCTGAAACGTCATGCCGCCCGTTATCCTGGGAGCAATATTTGCAAGTGATTAACAGCCGCATGACGCAACGCCACTGCACGAAGTGTTGTCACGGTCTCGGTGTTTAGGAGATGATCCTGCTATTAAAGAAATTATTTGGGGAGGAGGGTGGAAGGTTTCAGACAACGTAATCAGCTGTCGATGTCTTCCTCAGGAAGAAAGCGGATAATTACTTAGAAATCGAGCCACGGCACGTGAAGCCGGTCTTTATAAATTACACATTTTTCTTGTAAGGAATTTTAAAATAAATCAATAATTTAACTGCACTTGAAACAGATTTCCTTATTGCATAATTGAAACAGATTACGATTTACGGACGCACGTACATAAATGCCGTGCAAAAATGGCCATGCATAACGCCGTTTCCAGGAACACATTCCCGGCGCTAAACGGGATTATACGTCCCTGTCCAATTGTTACTTCAAGGGATTATTAAGACGTTTCGGAAGAAGGCATTACTTCCGTCTTCAGGGTCGAAGACGTGCTAAGCAAATTACGAGCAAGAGGGATGGAAATGATTTGTATTTTATCATGAAGAAGAAACCAATACGTTCCTCCGAAACACTGGTGAACGTAATGTATATCGGACTATAAATGAAATGACATCCCACAAGTCAGAATTCTTCATAAATAAAATTAATTTGAAAAGTTGTTAAATACATAACGAAATATGATAGCCTGATTAATTTATGGTAAAATAAACTCCGTAGCTTTTAGTCCGCAAAGGAACTATACCGACCGAGCGATCGCCGCTTGTAGGCGAAGTTAGTACCAACTTTTGCGGATAGAGGGTGTCGCGTGGTCAGCGCAACGGATTTATACGGCCGTTAATCTCGGTTTTCTAGACCGGAGCCGGTACTTTTCCATTCGGGGAGCTCCTCAATCATCCGCACGAGGCTGAGTGGACCCCGTTCCAGACCCACGACTTTTCAGAAAATAATTCATTTCTGGTAATCTAAAGTTTAATGAGTAAACTCGTTTCATAACTGATAATTCAGCGTAACGCAGGAATTTGTTAGTTGCAGATAAAGGCGTGTCTGGCTTCGAGATAATGAAGCAAGGTGTTTGCTGTAAAGATAACAAAGACATAACTACAAATGCAACAAGGCGCTTTAACAACTGCGCATCTCAAGTCATATTTAAAGGGGAACGTGCTTAGAAAAAGTACTGAACCAATAAACCATTTAAGCAGAGCCAGAAAACCCGAATCCTAAATAATATTCGACATAAAATTACTGAATAATTCAGTAATGTGATACAATGTACGTGTACATTGGTCGGATTTCATTAGACAAGCTTTTGTTATCCGCGTTTTCGCATATTTGCGGAGTTATTTCAATGTCCTATCTGTGGGCACGGTAGAAGCTGCTGCGCATGCCCAGTGAGTTGCGGGCGCAACCATTTTGACTCAGTCCTGTCCGAGCCTGTCGTTCACAAGCCCCTCTCCGCACTTCTCAGTGTTCGTTGAGCATGTTTCCAATTTACGAGTCTTAGGACCCAAATCCATACACAGTTTGGCCTCCAGTTCGGCCTGCACACTTGAAGACTAAAAGGCAAAACTGATGTGTGTGGTGCGGCCGGCCGGCCAATAGTTTGGACTGTTGGCCTGTGGGAAACCCGTCAGTCCGTCAGTTCTGCCTGCAGGACCGTAGCACGTGACGTGTGTGACTCAACATTATAGGCTGGAAGACCGTGATTGTGGCATGAAGCCTGCCGCTTTATCTGCGCGTGTATGGGGAGGAAAGGGAGGGGTAAACTGTCACAGTTTTGCCTGTAAGGTCGATCGGAAGGCCAAACTGTGTGTGTATGGGGGGCCTTATAGATAAGCAAGTAACCGCCGCGTAAGATTCACCTGTACTGCGACTGTCCATTGTTGCTAGGTGTTCATAAATCAGCCCTGCTATATGTCAAGCTTCGTGTGCGCGGTCGTGTACATAAACACGCTATACCTTGTTTTCATCAGATTCATAGCAAAAATCTTGTTTCAAGAAACAGCGTACAGCGGGGTAGGTGGATTAACAGAATTGTAGACATGTGAAATATTAATTCAGTTAAATCTAATTTGTTTTTATTTACGTGCTGTTCTTGAACAGCCTGAAGCAGCACGAATATATAACAACAAAGAAGACAAAAGCGTAAAATAAATCTAATTTCAATTAATATCGCTTATATTTAAATAGAAGTTTCTAAAAGTAGCGGTAGCATAATCGGTTGACGCACTATGCTACAAGCCGCAAGGTCGCGGCTTCGATTCCCGATGAGGTCATTGGATTTTTCAGTTGACCTAATCCTTACTGCCGCACTGTGACCCCGGGGGCCGACTCAGCCTCTAACAGAAAAGACTACCAGGAATCTTCCTGGGGTGTAAAGGGCGATCGGCGCGTAAGTCTGACAACCTCGTCCCCATATGTGAGCCGATTGTCTAGAAAATTTGGGAGCCTCGACGTCTCACAACTCTATGGGCCTCCACGTCCTGTTACAGGGAGAGATTTACTTTTCTACCTTATCCATAGGTTTATAAACTGCATTAGCAGCAGAAGCACGGGCAGCTGAAGGACACTGTATATATTCATGTGTCCTATTCCTAGCGGTTTCCGAGATGGAGCTGTTTCACTGTACAGTTCCAAAACTGTCGATAATACATACCGCTTCTAGTACCGGCATTTATTCAGAATGACTAGGTTTTTGGACTTTGCCCATCGTCCGGTATTCTAGAAGCTAGAACACACAACGTTCCGGAAACTGAATCCGTTCTCAGGTGAAGGGGGAAGACACGTACTCAGCTCTTTCTAGGGGACCCACTGAATAAGTGTCTTCTGGTTTCTAGAGTACTGGACGATGGGCAAAGTCGAAAAACCCAGCAATTCTGTGTTATACACCGTCGTCAGAACCCTTTATTTATTGTTCAAGTCACAAAGTTGGTAGAGTACCTAGTAAAATACATTTTCGAAAGTGTACGTTGCAACTCATGTGAGGACATGGCGTGTTGCTCGTCTGTACAGTGTACAGTGCGTATAGCAATTAGCTCTAGCTCGGAAACGGACATCCCAGAATGTTGACCTTTCCTCCTGGGACACGCTGTATAGTTCCGAAGGGAATTTATTTTATGACGTCATTACTACCACTGACTGTAGAGCGTAGAATGGTGGAATGATCAGTAAATAAGTAATTGGAAAGGATTTGGAACGAAAAGAGTCATCGCTTATTTTAAGGTATTTTGTCGGAATTTTTCTTGAGATGCTGTGGAAGACCACGAATAGCCTTAGAACATTCAGCGTCTCGACCGACACTCGAAGCAGGTATTTCCCGTATGCAAGTCAGAAACGTTACCGCGTGAACCAGTTTGGTAGCTCGGAAGGAGATCAACGAGCGTGAGGGATGAAAATTAGCAGGAAATCACCTTTCTCTAGAGACGCACGGACATACACGCGATATCTTTAGACTCTGAAAAACCCTGCGTATTGCGATCCCACACTTCTGTTTAAAATGTAATGCTGTAATTGAATTTAATTTGTGAAGAGTTTTGCGTTTTTAACGGACATACCTCAGTAAGTATATAATACAAAGTTACGAAACGAAGAATCGTGATATTAACGTGGAATGTTTTCTTTGTTGTAGATCTACCTATCCCAGTATGGCTACTTGAATCCTCAGGTTCGCAACCCGAGCTCTGGTACTATCATAGCAGCCGATACCATGAGGAAAGCCATTGTGGAGTTTCAAGCATTCGCTGGACTCAACATCACAGGTAATGAAAGCGGAGATTCATTGTTTAGTGGCCTATGTATGTACCAGCTGCTGGAACACGAGAGATCTTCGCCTTATCCGGTATATCCATGAGTACCGTGTGATTCTGAGAATAAACAGCGCTAATTTCCATGAACAGAAATAGTAGAAGGGTTGTTTAATGGAAATGCAGTGTGTTTTCAGGGCGGTAGGAACTAAATTTTTACGTATTGTCACGTATATGAAGTGTGACTATAGACGGGGTATGGATCTGTGAACGGATTTATTGACCACTTATATACGCGACTCGTTAGTACAAGCAGTTACAGCGTTATCGCTGATGCCCACAATTCATATATTACCACAGCACCCGCTAAGCCTTTTCCAGCATGCTGTATCTTCAACAGTCTTTCACTAGCAACGGCTCTTAACAGTGGAGATTCTTCAGCTTCCCGCACTCACGTTGTTACTGTCCGGCGAATATCCCGCAACTGAACTCTTTTCATCCCTTCTCAGCCTCCCTTGCAAAGCTCGACACAACTAACACACACACTCACCAACCAACTACTTCACTTCACTTCACTTCACTTCACTTAGCCAAGTCCAAGTCACATTGCAACTGACAGTCAGTCAGTCTGTCTTGGTGTCGAGCCCCGGTTGGGGCTCATGACCAGATTTTTTTATTTATTTTTTGTTTCCTTATATGAAAGTTACTGTCCTGTCCATTTGGGGTGCCCTCTCTGACGAGAGGTCGGGTCTGTCATTTGTCAGTCATAGTCCGTATTAGTAAGTCCACTGTCATTATTTACATATATTTACAAATTTAATCTTAATTCCTATTTCTGTGTACAATATATACAGGGCCTCTGTTAGTCCAGGCTCAGTACAGCAGATTATGCCCAACCTATTTCGCTACAACAGCAGTCTAGTCACTTGAACGATCGTATGCCGGCACTCAGCCAAGTCCAAGTCCAAGTCGCATTGCGACTGACGGTCAGTCAGTCAGTAAGTCTTGGTGTCGAGCCCCACCTGGGGCTCATGACCAGATATTTACTACTTTTAACAGTTACGGTCTTGTTTTTGTGGGGCGCCCTCTGACGAGACGACGGGTCTGCCTTTTTTATGTGCTGCTGGCCCTTGCCAGTGCAGTCTTTCTAGGGCCTGAGTCCCTTGGGACTCGATACCATATTTTACTGTCTCAGATTTGAGACTTCCCTTTTCGTCGCCTCTTACGACTCGCAGGGTCACGGTGGAGGTATTCGACCCCGCCTCCACACGGCACTCAGCCGTCCTGCTTTCCTCGCTTCATATCGGGGCGGACCCAACAGCAAACACCGCCTCTATTGTTATGGGCCGTTGTCTAGCAATAGCTCGGATAGAGTTGACGTGTTTACCAGTCGTTACCAAGCAGCGCATGTTCCTTCTCGCGATCGTTGCATAGCACCGGCACTACACGTAACAATACTATTGGAGGTATAATAGCTCAGTCCGTATAGTGACTAGGCTAGGGGCTGGACGATAGAGAAAGCGGGGTTCGATTCCCGGCAAGGGAAAGAAATTTTCTCACGGTGTCCAGACCGGCTCCAGGGTTCACCCAATTTCTTTTGAGCGGAGCTGTACGCTGTGTGTGTTGGAGACGGAGCTGGTTTGCTCCAACCGCACTACCTGAGTACAGCTCTGTACTGATGCGGTATGGGCAGTCATCGCCTTCTGCTGTTTGCAACAACTTTGAATTTACTTCGAGATACAAATTTGGGTACAGATCTGTGGGTCACACTGTAATAGAACATGGTTGTCTGTCCACTAGCAAGGTGAAGTCCATAAACAGTAGTGGGAGTGGCTCATCATTTTGGACGTGATGTGAGTGCCAACCCAGTACTTTGTCAGTGTTGCCAACAATCCGGATAGTTTACAAAATGGGAAACTGCGTCTCTCTGCATGGCCTGGAGATTGAGAACATCATGAAAAGAAAATTGAATAATACAGTAAAATTAACCCTTTAAAGCCTACGTCATGATATATACCATCCGTTTTAACACACTAAAACACTGAATTCTGCTCACAGTGTGTGTTCATGTTTCTCTCAGAGAAAAAAAAGAATAGTTTCCCTGCACAGCATTATCCGGTTGGTCTTTATAGCGGGGACGTATTGTGTTTCCTGTGAGATAGGAACTGAATTTTTATATAACATTTAGGAGAAAATCAGCATTAAAAGGATTAAAGTAGTCGATCTGTATGGTTAGATATTTGTTTCGAAATTCTAATAGAAGTTTCACAGCCCGACGACTCCAAAGCATTCATAGTGGTGTTAACAAATTCGTACTGTAGACAAAGTCCAAAATAAAGTACGATCTCCTGGTCATAACGTCGTGTATTTCAGAGACAGCCCGACGTTTCGGGAGGACAACTCATCTTCTGGGCAGTAACGCGGTGTACTAGTATTTCTGAGATAGCCCGACATTACAGAGAAACATAGAGGCGATATTTTCTTTCTAAACTTCTGACAATGTACAAACAATATGGCGTTAAAACCCAGAAGGGATGTGTCCTTCCGAAATGTTGGGCTGTCTCCGAACTACACGGCGTCACATCCCAGAAAACCTTACATTTCATAGTCACCGCTGTGAGGATTTTAAATCCGAAATAAAATTTTGAACAATGTCTCATGCCGTCAAGAAGCTTCAAACTTACGCCATTGATTTCATTTGATTATTGCTTCACCAACGGTAAAAAATAATATTGCACTCTTTTTGCATGGGTTGAAAACGTAATCTCATATTTTAAAGGAAGGATGACGTAAGCAGTGACGGAGTCTACAGTTGATTCGGAATGTGGAGTGGATGTGGAAGACAAAGATACCATACATTGGAGGAAAACATGTTGGAAAACGTCCACGTGTAGACCGAGAAGTAGAAGGAAAGGTGACATTAAGATGGATCTCGAGGATTACTAGTATTGTTCGTGTTCTGTTATCACAGCGTTGGTTATTTAACGACTTTTTGTCAACGAAGAGACTGTATTTTGCCGAACGAGAAATTGTAGAACGATTATGAACAGAGATATATAACAGTTGTGGCCAATTTTAAAGTACAAACCCTCTTCCTGCACTAACAGAAGATAGTCATGGAGGGCCTAGAATAGAATTGCTGGTCTTATGGTCTTCAGGTTAAGATTAAAATTTCTGACCGAAATAATAATAAGCAGCTCAAAACTTTCGGTTACTTCACTAGGAAGCAGCTTTAGTCAGGATTACTCTTTTCACTCGCGAGAAAATTCATCCAATCTTGTGATAACCAAAATCTTAAGTAGTCTCTTTTAAAGAGATAGGGCTCGTTATCTTGACACTAATATTGTGTTAGCATGGAATGATAAGGGATGAGAATTTCGATACATCTCTGATCAAGTTTCAGTTCATAATCTGTCAAATCATAAAGCAAATTGAAACATTTTTACTGATACAGGGTGTTCTGATTCTGTTGCAGGTGAACTGGACCGAGAGACAGCGGAGACCATGAGCCTGCCCCGATGTGGAGTGAGGGATAAAGTAGGATATGCCACTGACTCCCGCAGTAAGAGATACGCACTACAAGGTACAGTAGTTGGACAAACTCAGTGTAATATTTCTCCCACGTTCTCGAAATTCCATTTCCTTAATCCACTGTCGAATTCTCACCAATGCAGTGTCTGGTCGAAGGTGGCGGTAGATGGGTATAATGATTAACGAAGGGCAAATTGTTTAACACACCTTTTGCAGTGGTTTGCCACTTTAAGTTCACCACGAAATTAGATGTTCTGCAATTAGGTCTCCATTGACGGTTTCATATCGTCACGTGTTTGTGTGACTGCGGACAGGGATTTCAATTGGTTATTGGATTTGTTGACCACTTATACACACGACTCATAAGTACATGTAATTACAGCTGTCTCACTGATTTACGCACATCAGATATCACCCTACACCCGGCATACATAAAGTCTTGTTTTCACAGCCTGATTTTCAACTGACTCTTTTCTTCAGACTCCTGCACAGAACTGACGGCCGGCACAGGGAGCGCCGTTCATTCTCTTATGAGTATCCGTTGCCGCTGGAACTTGTTTACCGAGCCGATTCCTAGCAGCGACCGTTTGTCCTTATTAAGAATCTGCTGCCTAGCAACGGACGTCGTTCCGATGTCTGTTTCGCGGCCATTGTCTAGAAACGAACGCTAGAGCCGTTCGCTAGGAATGGCTGTTTCTCTGGTTCCACAGTTCTTGCTTTGAGCAAATATGCCACAATATTGAAATTTAGTCACATACTACAGAGGAGATATGTCACGAAATCTGTTAGGTTTACTGAGCTCGTAGCAAAACAACATTCATATACATTTGTCTTATCAAAAATCCAATGCTGTGCCAATTTGTTCATCACAAACCTGATTCATGCCAATTTTTCCATCACTAACTCCATTGATGTCAGTTTGTCCATCACAGCAGCTGATATAACCTAGCGTAAATACGTTTCATTTCCATGGTTACTATAAAGTACACGAAGGTTACGTACCGACTGTTGTCACGGAACCAGTTATTTTGTTATGAAGAAAAGAATGAGGAAGAAGTGTGACTTAGACGACAGCTAAACTAACAGATTTCCTGGGTATGTCTCCAAGAGGATCATCTCTTGACTTATCGTTTTTTTCTCTGGCTAACCTTTTGGGAGAAAGAGGATAGGGCCGACGGACAGATATTTGGTTGTTATATACTCGTACTCGTATATGTGGCTGCAAGACAAATATAAAATCTCCATCCGGGAAAGAAACCCCAGAATAAATCTTTCGACTTCTGTTGTATACCAGAAATGTTTGTCATTGCTCTGAGAAATCGCTTTGAGAACGAAATGGCAGCTGTTCCACGGATCGTATACATACCGTACTCTGTGTGGCCTTGTGACGTCAACCGCACACACAGGCCGGTAACAATCAACCAGTGGTTTCCGCTTCGTCCTGACCGAGCTCCCGGAAGCAACCTGCTCTGCTGCTGTGATTAGCAATGGGCCGTGGTTCCTGTAGATCAACTCTTGCGTGTACCGTCAGCTAGCCACATTCTAAACCGTAAAAAAAGAAGAAAACAAAAGGAAAATCCTTTCTCGTCACGATCACCCAGAGTGATGATGATGGTCATGATAATGATAATCGTGGGACGTGATTATTGGCAATGACAAGAGTGATGATGACCTCGGAAACCTTGGCAAACCTCTGGTTACAATACACAAGGTCCGATTGAATACAAGGTGTATCACAATTCAGGCAACACTCACAGCGAACAAAACAAATAACTCCTCTTCACATAAGTCAAACATTCTGTCGTCTATTTTTTTAGAAGTTCAGAATAAGAAATTAGAGGTGCATCTGAAACCACTTTTTTTAGCCTACTTTCCTTATTTTGAAAAAAAAATGAAAGTAGGCTTACGCCCTCTCCATGCTTTCTGTCTGTCTATGAATCTCCCCTTATTAACTTACGAATTCCTGAACCAATCTTTATGTGGTATATCATGACATCTGAGTCAATCTCAACGGCGTATTTCAGGAAACCTTCCCGTCAGTCCGTCTGTTTGTGTATTCTTCCCATCATTGCTATGCAACGGCTCGGCAAACACGTTCCCGCGGCAACAAAGACACGCAGCATTATAATAATTATTGGATACATGTGACTGTGTATCCTCTTATCGTCGGTAAAAATGTTCCTGCGGCAAGGAAAATTGTTGGGGGCGGCGGTTTCTATGCGGTCCGTGAGATTAGTTCTTCCCTTTTACTTTCTCTTGTACGTATTATATATGTGAAAGTATTTTCATGGTAAGAAGAGATGTCGATATTTCGAAGGATTCATGTGCTTTTGGCACCCCTTCACTAGCGCCCTGATGGTTGCACCGAACTCCCTCATATTCAGCATTCAAGAGCTTCTCCTCAGGTCGGTGCTACGTGAATATGAACATTTCAGCTCCAAAAACAGAGGACCCTTTAGATAAGTGTGAAAGCAAAATAGAGATGTTTTAGAAATGGTTACGCTGATTTTGGTTAAATTCCAGTAATTTACTGTGAGTGCCTCCTTAAATGAAATTACATAGCTGGTATCTTCAGGGAAATAACGGTGCGCGCAACAGGAGCCCTGTTATGATTTGTACACAGCTTCATCTCAGCAAACTGGATGCGTCCTGCTGACAACCAATATGGACAATGTAAAGGTTCTTTTTTTTGGGGGGGGGCGATTTTTTCCTACGTATGGTATGAGTGTATACAAATAAGTGCTGTGTTCTGAGAAGTAATTTTGAGGTTATATTTTAATATGTTCTTCTTTTTGCTCTTGTTAATACAGATATTAGCACGTGTATTAGTGACATAGACGGGGTTGTGAATTAGATGATTAGATTATTGCACCTAACACAATCACACTTTCGGGACTACAGGGAATATAGCGCTATCGCTGATTTACGCACTTTCAAGCTCACTGTTCCGCACGCACTAGGATTCTCAGTCTTCATTAGCCGTATCCTGGCAACGGATTTATCACAGTCTCGCTGTCACTTCAAATCACACATGAAGTCGTTTTTTACTGCCTAATTCCTTTCTTTCCATTATTCTGCAACAGCCAACTCAGTTCAGTTCCTCTGTTCCCAGTTCATATCCCGGCAGCCTGCCCTCTCGAAACTTGGCTCTTCACTTCTCGACTACTTACTCTACTCGTATTTGACTGCTACTTTGTTCTGCTGAACACTTTCTTATAACCACTTTGCACTAGACAAGCAGAAAACACAGCCTGTATTGTTAAGGAGGTGTGTTCACTCATCCGTTGCCCAGTAATAGACGTACTGCTGTTTAGCGAGTTTTCTTGCGCGGGAATGTGTTTACGGAGTCGTTGCCTAGCAATTGATATACACGTCACATATTTTGCAAACGTAAGGTAACTGTAAAACAATAAATTGACATACACTAGACTAGTGGGAACATACATACTAATGGGACACAAGATAGTAACAACAGTGACAACACTATACAGACATGCATCGGGCTAAAGAAAACAACATAGAAAACACGGACGCCGAAAGAAGAAGGTAGCGCAAGTGAAGATAAAGAGCAAATAGATTTTAATGAGTGAACGAGCCTAAGAACTGACGCAGCGCAGTATCTTCAAGTGGATAGTTTCGTGAGCATGGCCAAGTATGGCCGAAACTTGTAGCAGTTTAATTTTAATTTTAATATAATTTGAAAATAAGGAGAAACTGTAAACAAAGATGCATTAAAGACGGGAATGAGTGTGTCTGTTTGGCAACATTGCCAGTATCGAGACCAGATAGAGTCGATGGTAAAGGCGAAGCTGTCCCTGTGCTTAACTAATCAAGCACTACTCCATGAAGGCACTGCGTCTTGTATTTCTTTTAAAGTGAAGAGGGATGATGTCCAGGTTCAGTATTTTGGCCCGGGGCTTCCATTGCCCTGAGGCGGCGCTGGGCACACGACTCAAGCTATGTGATATGGTGTTAACCTTTCACTCGCTAATCTACTTGCAGTGTCTATGGAAAGCAGACGTTGAATTACTGTGGGTTTCTTGGACTTCCTCCAAAGAACAGTCGGCGTTACCTTTAGGGCACTAGAGCTGGTTAAAGTCGTTCCTTAAGCGCAAGCGCACAGAAGGTTTAACCTCTACATCTGTCTGTTATTGAATGGAAAACTTAACCGTTGCTACATGACCGAGTCAAACTGCAGTTGTCTCAGTAACTTAACTACGTAGCATAGAATGAAAGGTTGACTCAGGAAGCGGTATTTGCCACGATGGACTGAAGGAAGCTACTAAAGTACTTTCATGAGGACGGTCAGTGTCCAGATCAAGATTCGAACCAAGCACTGCTGATGAGGATGGACCTAACAGAGTAGGTGGCCCCACCTGGAGACGGGAGCACATCCAACTCTCGTGAGATGTGTTCATGTTATCAGGATATCGCTCGACAGACAAACCCAGTAAGCTTTGGTTTCCTTACAACTGAAAATACCTGTGCAGCTTGACAGCTCATCTGTCACGTGATTGCTGACGCCACAAGGCCAATTAGTGCTCACGTAACAGTCAGCCCTTGAAAATTCTTTTTTCTCTGCTTCCGGGGGGTCGAGCAGTTGCCATGGAAACGAAACACCTGAATAGACCGGAAGATCGTTCGGAGCAACCGAACTCTTTAAGACGCTGCAACAATAAGACACCTCGAACGTCGGGAATGAGAAAGAAATTCGTCGTTCGGAACGAATGGTTACAAAAAAAAAAGTATGCCTATTAGCCACGTCTGTCTGTCCGCAAGTAACGGCTCAATAAGCGCTGAAAAAATGTTCGTGATATCTCATATTTCATATACTCATTCATTAATGATTCTACAGTGCACTGTTGGGCCCTGACACCGTAGGTAGGGCTCCTTGGACGGGGGATCAGCACTTCGCAAGGCCCCTACCTAAACACAGGACAACAAAAACGTAGAATAAACGCCATGCCTCGAGTGGGATTCGATCCCAGCGTTCGAGCGAGCGAAGATAGTTCATGCCTTAGACCGCTCGGCCACCGTGACCGGCTTATATGATATTTAGGACTTCAAATGTGTTACGCATTCCGTTCATGGTTGAAATTGGTAGGATTGATACGTAATGGGACAGTCTACACAACAGCAGTTCTGAAAGATCCCCAGAGCCGGTCTGGGCGATATGGAGGAGAGAAAATTCAGACCATACCGGGACTCAAACTCCGACCGCTCGGTCGTCCAGACCCGTAGGCAGCCGCTATACCGTCTGCGCTACCCCGGCTCACAAATGACGTCCCTAGCGACTGCTGTTTCTTGTACGAATTCTATGGAAACAAGAAATGCAATCTGTGGGCTAAGCGCAGGGTGTCGTTAATGTTCAAGCAGCTGTCAGAATTGTGACAAGGCATGCCAAAGGCGTGCTAGTTATGTGACCTTCACGTCAGAGATTTAGGGGGGGGTCATTACCCATGGAATAATGCAACTCTCATGCAAAAGCCCACACTCAGCTGGCATTTCCGGACCACGTTTCGTCGTGTAACTTACGCAGACGTGGAGAGCATTTCGACCACTTTCACGTTTCGCCTTTCATAATCTCGCATATAAGAAATGTATGCGCCATAACGCTCTTCTCCTTCATATGGTACAACTTCGGTCATTTCGAGCAAACCTTATGATATCAAATGACGCGATGTCTCATGTAACATACCGCCAGTTCGAACACTAGCGCGTGCATCGACTCAGCTTTCTTCTGTTTCTCTGAGCGCTGTAGGAGCATGTCAGGGCGGTTCGCATCTTGCCTCTGCATTCTCTCTAGATGAGCACTTGTTTGGGCTGGTAATTGGATTTATTGAACTGTTACAGATCCTAACTATAAATAACCAAACCTCTGTCGCTAATTCATACTTCACGAATCACTATAGGACACACTAGGTCTTCTCAGTCTGTTACAGTCTTCGCTAGCCGTTGCTTGGTAGTGGCTTTCAACGGCGGACGTTCCCCTTCCTCTGGGTTCACAAGCGGCCCCCAGTCTCAGCTACCAGCTTCTATCAGCAACAGTTCGCAACGACTGAACCTCAGTGGTTCTCTAATTTTCATTTAATCGGCATAGTGGGGGGTGGAGTCCAGTTGGGTCCACTCGGCACAGCTGCCACTGATTGGCAGGGGAAACCGAAGTACTCGGAGAAAACCCGCCCCAGCGCCACTTTGTCCATCACAAATCCCACTTGACCAGAGCAGGGATCGAACCCGGGCCGCCGCGGTGGGAAGCCAGCGACTAACCGCTTGAGCTATGGCGCGGCCAAAAAAACTCACACACACAAACATTGAACATCCATGCTCTGAATGGGATTCGAACCCATGATCCCAGTTTCCGAGCGAGCGAAGACAGTGCATGCCTTAGACCGCTCGGCTACCTTGACCGAAGCGGTTCTCTGACTCACTGACTAAGCCCCTTGAGGATCACGATGAGAGTTTTTTTTTTCAACTGAACCCTTGCCGTCATAGTCCTTATGTAACATCCTCTCTGACTTATGAATATGCATGGCCTTTTGTAAAGTGTCTAACTGACCAGATAACTGGCCCGGCTTATAACATCTCGGTACGTACCGCGTAGGAAAAACCGTTCCTCTGTTGCAGTGTATTTGTTGTCATGGAAACATGCTTGTTTGCGGAGCCATTACTTAGCAACGGATGTTGTATAGTTGCTCATTTCGCGGTTTTTGCCTAGCGATGGGTCCGCATGCCATATTATTACTTTACATTTATGTTTCGCTATTCTGAATCCAGAGTTTCCTTGTTATTTTCCATTCAGCGCCATATACACTTACAAACAAGAAAACAATATATGACGGTCCGTGTGTCACGCTATCCCATTCCAGCATGTGACCAGGAAACCAGTGCGCAGCTTAAAAAGGCCACATGTTTTCCGTTTCTTCCCGCTGGCCGGGAAAGAGCTGCTTTATTTACCCCTTCTCTTTGGTCACATGACCACGTTCCTTGTAACTTGCCTGTGTACCCAAACCTATTTTTGAACCTACATACTTCAACCCTGAAAATTGAGGCCATATATTCCTTCGAAACGTCAACATCAGTCCACAAAACTACACGGTGTCACATCCCACACAATCTTAATAATCATTAATTATAGAATTATGTTGGACAGTGTCCAGTTTACGAGTATATAATGAGGAGCACCATAACTTGTACTCATCGCCAAGTATAATTAGAATCATCAAGTCAAGGAGGATGAGATTGGCAGGGCATGTAACACGAATTGGGGGGAAGAAGAATGCATATAGGATACTACTGGTGGGAAAGCCAGAAGGAAAGAGACCACTAGGAAGATCAAGATATAGGTGTGTGGATGATATTAAAATGGATCTTAAAGCGACAGTTTGGGATTATATGGATTGGTTTGATCTGGTTCATGATAGAGACAAGTGGAGGGCTCTTGTGAACACGGTAATGAACCTTCAAGTTCCAAAAAATGCTGGGAAGTTCTTAAGTGGCTGCACAACTGGCGGCTTCTCAAGAGGGGCTCAGCTCCATGGAGTTAGTGTCCGTCACTTAGTTAACAGCGGACCATTACTACAGGCCTGTAGAGGACTCGTCACAATGGCGACAGTAAAGGAATGCAATGAATGTTTGTGGGTTTTGTTGATACAGGCAGTCGGTGGAGAGTGAAGGAGCTATCGTACAAGATCTCCAAGTACCCGCGGAATCTGAACCATGAGAAAGTGGACGTAGAGTTGGCTAAGGCGTTCCAAGTTTGGGCGGACCAGACAGACTTGGTCTTCAAGAGGAAAACAAAGGGACAAGTTCATATTGAGATTCGCTTCGAGAAGGGTGAGCATGGAGATGGCGATCCTTTTGATGGACCCGGGGGCACCTTGGCGCATGCGTACTTCCCCGTATACGGTGGAGACGCGCATTTCGACGACGCAGAGAACTGGTCCATCGATAGTTACAGAGGTACGTACGTGTGGACTCCATCCAGTGTAGGAACCAGGTTGAATAGGTACACCATTAAGTCATAATTAGACAGTTAGACCTGTCCCTATGCTGAATAAATTAAGCACCCCGCCTTGCAGACTTGGGGGGGGGGGCTACATGCTGGATGTGAGTGAATACCTTCACGCCAAGGCCGCGTTATCCCCAAGGAAAGAGATCCCGTCACATATTGGATAAGTCGGGACCCAAAGCAGGCGGAGAAGAGAAAAAATATCTTGCCCCGATCCATCAGCTAATCCAACCCGTGGACAGTCGTTATACCGACTGAGCTATCCTGGCTGTATCATTGTGTTTTCAAACATAGACATGACCTTGCTTCCGTAAGGCGTGACGTACACGGGGTCATACAGCGGCTGTTGATTCTCGTGTGATGTCACGCGAATGCATTCATGTTAGGTCCCGCTTTTTGCCTCAAAATGGAAGCACATGAAACTTCGAAACCTTTCAGAATCGGTGATTAACATTTAGTAGTGACAGCGACTGGCATTGCATTCATACTGTGACATATTCGCGTTATTCAAGACGTTAACGTGAGATGAGATGAAACTGGGAAGTGTCTGAAAATGTTTCTATTTTTGAAGCGCCCCACCCCCCTCCAGGTCCGTGTTTGAGAGCCGAATTGTTCAGTCGGTATAGCGACTGGCTACGTCCTGGACGGCCGAGGTGTCGGGAATACGTATATTCGCGACAGGGGGCAAGAGATTTTCTCTCCACTGAGTACAGACGGAGTCTGGGGCCCCTCTGCCTCTTATCCATTGGGTACGGAGGTCTGTTGTCCTGGGACTAACGCGCCACGTGCTTGACGCTGATCACAGACCTAGTGCCGAGGTTAAGAATGCGTATATCTCCACTCCCCCATACGTCTTCAGGGCTTAGTGATTAATTAATTAAGTACCGGGAAAACAGAAGCACGCGGTAGCGTAATTGATTGAAACATTATGCTACAAGCCGGAAGGTCGCGGGTTCGATTCCTGATGAAATCACTGGAATTTTCAATTAACCTAAATCTTCCAGCCACACTATGACTCTGAGGTCGACTCAGCCCCTGACAGAAATGAGTATCATAATTTTCCTGCGGGTAAAGAGCGGCCGGCGTGTAAGGCTGAAACCTCACCGCCAGCTGTGAGCCGATTGTCTAGAAGTCTAGAAGCCTCGAAGTCTCACTAACCCTATGGCCCTTCACGGCCTGTTACAGGCACAGCTTAGTTTCTCAGCTTTCAGAATATTTTTTCGCGAAAGTTTAAATCTGAATTTTGAACCTTGCGATAAACTGTCATTTCCGAAGACGTCACATAAAACTTTCCAGAGGATAAAATAAGAGCAAAAGATGAACTGGAAGGGTCTGGACTTCATGTTGCACCGTTTAAGCTGAAGGTGTTTTTTTTCAGGCACGAACCTGTTCCAAGTGGCCGCCCACGAGTTCGGCCATTCTCTCGGGCTCTCCCATTCGGACGTGAAGACCGCGCTCATGGCCCCGTTTTACCGCGGATATGAACCGCACTTTCAGCTCGACATCGACGACATCCAGGGCATCCAGGCGCTGTACGGAAAGAAGACACACAAGACGCCGATGTCAAACGGTGACAAGACCACAACTACGACCGAGGCGCCCGTGGCCTCTGGCGAAGACGCCGAACTATGCAACGACGCTTCAGTGGACACACTCTTCAACTCGGCTGAAGGAGTGACGTATGCCTTCAAGGGTAGGGAATAATTTCAGTTGGGCATATACAGTGTCGTGTACAGACAGTGTGTCTTACCTGTGCATTTTGGGGTGTGCAAAATTTAAAATATGGCCTATCAGTATTTTGTGTCCGTTTCTTTCGCAAATGTATGGAAACACTTTCTATTTGAAGTTCTTGGGATGGGGATCAGACGGAAACCGTTGGTACGTCTACCCCGGATGGTAGATGATAATGGGTGTGGAGCAGTTGGTGGAATTAGAATTGGCAGGAGAAACAGAAGTACTCTGAGAAAACCTGCCCCAGTACCACTTTATCCACCATAAATCCCACATAACCTGACCTGGGCTCGAACCCGGGCCGCATCGGTGGGAAACCGGCGACTAACCGCCTAAGCTATGGCACGGTCATTCTCACCGTGGTAACTATGAACAGTACTGTCGCCTGTGATGTGACGCAGTGTAGTCTTGTTTCGGAGGAATGTACTTCCTACATCATCAGTACCCAAGAGTAAGCCGGTAAAGCAGCTAGCAAGAAACAAACAGCAAGCAAATCAAGGTCATCCTCTTGCTTGTTGTCTTAGTGGATCAGTTATCGAACCTGATGATGGAGGCTGTACGTTCCCTTGAAACGTCCTTAGACCCCCCATTAGACTACACAGCATGACCAGGAAGGCAATGCTATAAAGGCTGTGGAGATATCCTATCGGCGTTGATATCAAGCTGAGCGCTGTAAAGCCTCAATATAGAGCTTCGTGACATGTTTACGCACCCTCACATTCTCACGTACTAACGTTCTCATGCACGCAAAATCATGTACTAACGTACTCATGCAAGCACAATCACGTACTAACGTACTCATGCACGCGCACACACTCATGCACGCACAATCACACACTCACGTTATCATGCACGCACAATCACGTACTAACGTACTCATGCACGCGCACACACTCATGCACGCACAATCACAC